ACGCGGCATTCGTTGCCGCCGTGGAGGAGGAGGAGGAGGAGGAGGAGGAGGAGTCGTATATTTTGCCAAATTTCTCTTTTAAGACGCTCCTATTCATCCTATTCAGGCAGTTGAAACTGCGTTGGATTCAGGGAGCATGTTGTTCATCGCGCTAAAAGTCCATATTATCCAAAATTCTTCGCGAAGTATGAAAAGCAATTTGAAAAATTAGTTGTTTTTTTTTAAGATTTTTCATTAAAGAAGGACAATGCGTTTACTGATCACGTCTTAAAACCGCAATCAGCTAAATGCTTAGAAAATGTGGCCCGACTAGAACATCGTTACAGTGGTTTCGCAGTCTTCTAGTTCACCCACAGAGAACTGGTGGATGGCAGGTTGAATTTCTTTGCATTTCCAATTACGGAGTAAAATTCTTAGGCACCGAACGTCGCGACTTTGCATCGGACGGGCTGGGGGACTGGGCAGGCAGGAGCAGGCAGAGGCAAGGCAGGCAAGGCAGGGCAGGCAGGGCAAGGCAGGGCAAGCAGGGGCAAGCAGGGCAAGGCAGGGCAAGCAGGCAGGCAGGCAAGGCAGCAGGCGGGCAAGGCAGGGAAGGCAAGGCAAGCAGCAAGGCGAGGCGAGGGAGCGGAGAACAGCAAGGCATGGGCAAGAGGCGGGGAATGGAGAATGTTAGTTTTAACCTATTCTCCCGCGTTCCTTGACTTCGGATCTCGTTCCACCGCTATATTCCCGTGCATTGTTGAATATGAACTAGTATGGACGGACCGTGATTGGCAATATTTGATATCAAGAAAATATTCTCTCAAGGTGTAATATATATTATTAATTTCCAACGTGCGGTAGAATTTCAAAGAAAAAGTCTGCAGCTTCCGGCCTTTTGATAGGCTGTGTAGGGTTTTAAATAAAATAATAGACATAACTCTCGGGCCAACATTTAATGTAAGCACAGCATTCGATTGACGTAACGAGCATCGTCATTACCGGATGCAAACCATAAAATATAAAAAAAACATTGTTTTGTTCAAAGATAGGTAATAAATGGAAGTTAAGGTAAACCATATTTTAAAATTAAGGTTCATAAGTATAAGAGGAATAGTATATAATGAAAAAAAGAAAAGAAAGGGCAGGAGGCGACTTCCTGAAAAACGGGGAAATCGGAGAATTTCCATTGCCTGGAAAAGTCGGGTAAAATCAGAAATTTTGTGGACGAATTGAAATCATGGATAAATTTTGACTATTGAATATTTCCTTAAAAATTAGTTCAATTGTGATGTGCGTGTTAGTGTTTAATATATAGTGGGGGAAAAAAAAAATAAAGGGTGCACTGGAAAACCAAGAGTAACGTTAATTTGTTTCCAGGAAATGATAGGCTACTCTAGAGGGGCTGGTTTATGTTTTTTATTGAGAATATCATGTATAAATGACAGTGAATATTTTCCAAAGTTATTCTGGTTTAATACTGCGGTCTCTTTTTCGGATATAGTTAATGTCAGGATGAGTTCTGTTTGAAGTAAATGTATTTCACACTAATTTAACTTTTCTTCCCCTTTTTCATACAATTATTGCTAGATATTTCACAAACATTACTGTGTTTTATAAATATATTTGAACAGCTCTTCGCGCTTTTTTTCCTTTCAATAAAATTATGATCGAATTACGTAACTTCACATTTATCTATTAGTTCATAACTGAATGTTTTAAAAAAAATCACTTCATATTTTGTATAATGGTTACTCACGATCGGCTCGAAAGCTGCTCTTGCTTGGCCAAGTCAACGTCTCGGATCTTGAATTTGGAAACCTGCCAACAACATAGTCACTACATTAAATAATTCCGTAATAGGTTTACCGTTAGAGTACCTTGCGAAACTCGGCTGAAAAATTGCCCAAACAATGCAACAATTCGATTTTGACTGAAAAATGCATAATATTGATTTGTCGTTATTCAGCCTATTCTCATAAACACACTTCGTCCGACTTAGATACATCATGCTCAACGTAATCAACTGCTACGACAGCAAGGCTTCCAAGGAAGACCTCAGCTCTTCAACATCTCTATATCCAATCTAAAATGACAACACAGTTTTATTTCTGGAAAAAGGTGTATGTTTAATCAGTACCATATCGAGTATTTCGTTACTATAATACAAACACCAGTCCCATCACCCTTTAGCAACACAACATCACGCATACTATACCCTCCAAGGCCCTCGATCACTCCCAGGCAATCGATACTCGATCAATCACTGGAACATAATCCCAATCACCCAAACTTATCACTATGTGCTAAACATGTTGGGACTAAAACTATTTAGTGCATGACCTGCAAGTTTTCTTCATAGGCTATAATGACACTCCTCTGATCTAAATGTGGTGTATGAAAACGCACAGGTATGTATTGTCATACGTGCTATTAAGAAAGTATTATCAGCTTTACCAGTAATTCATACTCAAGTATCCTCTCGTTGGTCATGCTTTTGTCGTTATTATGATTTGGCAAACCAATATTAGGCAGGTGCATGAATTGGATAAACTAGAGAAAGTTTATTTATAGCTCGACTGCAGACAAAAACTATGATCTTTACTTACGGTTACGATTGCTGATGTGACCTGAACTCAGTCTTATTCTATCTCCCGAGTGATGAGTACACTGCAAATCATAAAGTCCACTGCGACACTATTCCATTCACTACATACTGGGTTTTAAACAACTGAGAGGTATTAGATAATCTGATCGAAGGTGACGAGAAGTGCGAGATAATATAAACATGCGTAATGTAACATTATTTATGACTTGTGCTATGGATTACCTTTTTTTATAGTAGGTCAGATATTGGCTTGCCGATTAAAAGAGAGTGGTTGGCTGAATTGGAAGACTGACTTGCTTGTCTGCGTGGCGTGTAGTTAAGCTGCTTGATCGTGTACCGTCCAACTCCTCATCTCCTGTCCGCATATAGCATCTCAATCAGAACTGTTCACTGTGCACTTGTGAATCGCACTTCCAATTTCTCCTTATGCAGACGTGATACTGTATATTTCGAAGGCACGTGAGATACTAAAAATGAGACTTGCGAGTAATTTACTACGATCATTGTTACGTATCTGCTACGTTTTACATAAGGAGCACTAAACATTGTTCTTAGACGATACGTAGGTCTACTCGGTATGCGGATGGCCGATCGCGTTGCCGTAAGGGTGCCACTCTCTCTGTGATTGCAACTGTTATTTAGGACTTTGCTCGCTTCGAGTGGATACTCGACATGACTTTAACATTGCAACTGTTAATCATCGTGCATCATCGTAGTTATGGAACGCGAGTTGCAGTAGCACCATTTGTGCTATTTGGATGTGATCTTTCGCAGATATTCCTCCGATCTACTCGCAAGCTCATTATTGCACATTATTCTTAATCTTTACAAAATGGCAGTCATTTTGATTGCGAGTCTCATTCGCTTTTATATTTTTGAGGAATCAATGTAGAAGGTTCTGCCTTTCACTAATGCTGCACAAAAGCACATATGCACAACTTTATCTTCTAAGATTCTACGTGGCAAATCTGTTTTGTTATTTGTTTATTACGAGAGCGAACGGTTTCATAGAAGAATTACTTCGATTTCTGAAAGTGACACATTTTGAACACATTTGCCCCATTATTCTCCAAATTACTCAGCGATAGATTTTCCTTATTTTGTAGGAAGTCAATAAGTAATAATAAATATATGGTAGCAAAATGAGTAGACTACGTTTCATGTTTTAGACTTCAACTTTCCACTCAGTCTGGTCTCTCTTTTCGTTTGCGCTCACCCTCTTCTCAGCTGCCCATTCTATTGGCTCTAAAGTCATTTTTTCAAGTTACCCTAAGAAATCATTATATCCGTCTTAAGTCTAGTTCCTTAATAGATCGAGAGAAATATCAGTTTGGGGATTATCGTTTGAAACGATTTAATAAGCGTTGGAACCAGACAGACGTTTTGCCGTCAATTCAATTTTTCGAAAATCACGATCACACAAAAGCGTGGATTCTGGAACTCATCGGAATGTTAGAGGATGTGATTTACTACATATGATGATTTATCCACTTATTCGAGACCAGGCCCGGCAATGAAGTTTTTTCTGACGAAAAATTCGCCGGTTTTCCCGACGCATGAGAATAAATTATTATCAATTCTTTACGAAATAAGGAAGAGAATAGTAAAAAGAAATCGAGAGACTTATAGCATTAGGTCTTCTCGTAAGATACATTTAATGCGCTTGGGCATTTTATCATTTTGCTTTTTCTGTTAAAGTAAGACGATTTTATTATTAGTTTCTTTTACGACATGAATGCATGGTCTCCAGTATATTTGAGCCGTCATTTTCGTTGTTAACTGCGAGATATTGGGAGAGGAGGGAGATGTCACCTCGTCAAAAAATTGTGCTTGATGTTCGGTCCTACCTTTGGATTGTCCCGCTCGCGCGCACTGCGTTAACATGTTATATTGCTTATGATTATGGAAGTAGTAGGAGGAGGCAAGGGAGAAACATGAATTGAAAATGTAACAAGACCGCGAATCGCAAGAGAAATGGGAAAGTTAAGCTGATCGATTTTGAAACATCAAAGTTTTGTAGTAAAAAAGCTCCAAACGACACATTTTACTAGGCAGTGTGTATGTGTGAAAAAACATTCTTTCTGCACTGGCATCTTCGATTACGTTCTAAAATTGCTTGTGTATTGTGTGTTGCCACTTGGCTGCCCTCGCCCGCACGCTCTCCTGCCTCACGCCACCTCTCTTCCGCTTAGCCATTTGCCCACTGTGTGCGATCCGCTGATGCAAAGCTCGGGAAAACATTACTTTCAAGCAGACGCGCACGAAAACTCGGACTGTTGGCGTCGTCGCCACGATAAGTATAACAGTGTTAGCGGCGGGGGCTCGTGGGGCGTCGACGAGGGAGGGCGGCTAGGTTGGCGGTCGCGAGCGGGGGCGGGGGCGCGGGTGGCGTGCGGGCCCCCGCGCGGTGACTGGGGGCGGCGGCCTCCTCGCTGTCCTCGTCGCCCGCTCGTCGTCGCTCGTCGTCGTCGTCTTCCCAGGTCGTCGCCGCCGGTCGGACGCGAGCGAGCCGGCCCCTGGGCGCAGCTCGCAGCAACGCATCGAGCTCCTCGGACCAGGAGGCGCTGCTCCCGGTGGCGGCGTCCGCGCGCGCCCGCGCCCACGCCCCGCCGCCGCTGGAGGCCTGGACAGCGACGACCCAGCAGCAGTAGCACCAGCCGCGCCCGCCTCACCCCGCCCCGGCCTCGGCCACGGGCTGCCCGCCAGCGCAGCCGCGCGCCCGCGCCCGCCCGCCTCGAGCCTTCATGATGAACCGAGACCTCATCCTCAACTTCTCGCGAACACGCAGAGCTCCCGGGCCTGCCCTGCCAAGCACCAGAAGAAAGTAGATAGTCTGAGGTCCCACCACACACACACATCACATCACAACCACCATTCACACACCACACCAAAACTCCGTCGCTACCAGCGCCAACGACGATGACATGGCCACCGCAACACCAGTTCAAGTCGCGTCGGCGCACGGCGTGACCGCGCGGCCGCACGTCGCCGTGGGCTGAGCAAAGCGCGACAACGCTGTGCCCGAGCCCGCGCTGCGCGCCGCCGCAGCCCCGCCGCCCCCACGCGCACGCCAGATCCAAGGCCATGGGCGCCGTCCGCCGCTCTGCTTCCCCTACCACCACGCCGGGGCTTCGTCCGCACTTCGCGCTCCGAGGACCACCTGCAGTTCCAAGAAAGACTCGTCATGAGTGGCAGTGGACAATAGACTTGACAGAGGACGTCACCTCGTCGCTTCACACGCTCCTGGACCACGCGCCCGACATGCGCTCGCAAGCAGCAACAACGTGGCGTGGGTGCGTGTCGCCCACGACGACGCGACCACGCCGCACGCCCCGCGCTCGCCCCGCCGCTCCCGCCCCTTCGTCCGACCCGGCTCGGCCCCGCCGCGGCACAGCTCCGCCCCCGCCCGAACGTATAGTGTGGACGCTACAACGCGCCCGTCAGCGTCTCCTTCCAATCGGCTCGAAACTCGTGTTGCGGCGCGGCGGCGCGGCGGCGGGCCCCGGGCTGGGGGTGGGGCGGCGCGTCGCGCTCGGGTCGTCGGCGCGTGCGGTCGGCCTCGTGCACGTCGTCGGAGGGCGTGAGCCCGCAGCGTCGCTGTCGCCCGCGCGCCCACCTTCCGTTCTCCTCTTCCGTATGCGAGCACTCGAGCTCGCGCAAAGTGCCCGCGCTGGCGGCCGCGCTTCCTACGCCCAACAGCAGCAGCAAGCCCAAGGGACCTGTCGCAGTCGAGGCCGTCTCCAATCATCTCCAGCCCCGACTTCCAGAGGAGGAGACGCTCCATCCTGAGCGCGCGCGCGACCTCATGGAGGTGAGCGACCCAGCGACAGCGACTCGACGCTGCTGTGAGCGACCGCACCACGCGCGCCGTCCCGCCAACCACAAGGGCGGCAGCGGGCGAACGCCGCGGCAGCCGCGACGCCGCGGCGACCACAAAGCAGCAGCAGAAACCGGATCGTCATCCAAGTGAAGGGCGCCGAGCGGAGACGGCGGCGGCGGCAGCGGCCGCCGGGGACGTGGCGGCCAGCGGGCGGGCGCCAGCGTGGGAGTGGGCGAGCGGCGCCCACGAAGCTGGACGCTCCTCCGCCGGCGGCCTCGCGGCGCAGGCGCAGGCGAGATCGCCGGCAGCCTTAGTTCAGGGAACGCAACTCCTGAGCTGGTGGCCGGTATCAGGTTGTGCTTACTCTTCCCCCTCTCTTCAGCCTTCCTACACTGCAACTTGGCACAGCGTTGCAGCCGACAAGTTTCTACGCTGGCTTATAAAAAAAAACACTTGCAACACATTACATTTTCGGTCTTTTCATGACTTACGACATGCTTTTTATTTCCTTCTCTCTTTCAACAGCCTAACTTACCCTTGGATGTGTGATGGTGTGTTGCATGTTCAAAATGTTTCTTCTTATCTAATATCTTTAGAATCACTTAAAATGTTCTTGCTGTTGTTAGAATGCTCTGTGTAGCTTCATGATGCAAAAGAGAGAATGAAATGGTTGAGAACTTTGTTTTCATTTAATATTTTTGTGTAAGTGGCAAATATTGCATTGAAATGATTCTTATATATTATTATTGATTTCATTATTGTTCTCATATTTCTTAACGTTCTTGCATCTCAAAACATGACATTTGTTATTTAACATAACATTCCTTTGTACTTTCAATGGTGAAATTAATTTTATGTTGATTTATATTTTGACTTCTTTTAACATTACAATCCTGAATCTTCTATGATCACTGAAAAGTTATAACTATATTACATTTACTCATTCAATATGACTTGAAGAAAATTGGAACCTGCCTCTTTCACCTTCTCCACTCTCTGTCTGTATCTTTCTTGTCAGTTCCACTTGAAATATTAAATTTAACGTGTTTTGTATTAATAGTATCACACTGAGAGAAATATACATTTCACTACCATAGTTACGATCACTCAAATGACATTAGTAAAAGTAGTGTGCCAAAAAATACATATTTTAACCAAATTTCTAAATTTTAAAATATTGTTTCTTTCAGAATATTCAATTGCTAATGTTACATATGATTGTTATTGAAATATAAATAATATATTACACTAGATACCTTTGAAACTTTTCTGTGTTCCATTGAAGTTTTAATATCTAAAATAATATTGAAAATTCATTATGATATTAAAAAAGGTATAAGATTTAAAAACTTAATTTTAAGTAACTTGGTAATAGACCCCTATTGGTTAACAAACACAGTTGAATATTCTGAAAGAAACAATATTTTAAAATTTAGGAAATTTTGGTAAAATATGTATTTTTTGGACAATATTTATAAATGTCCTGGAGTTGATCTTAACTATTGGTAAAGTGGAATGTAATATTTCTCTCAGTGTGATACTATTTAATACAAAACACTTCTAAAATTAATATTTCAAAGTGGACTGACAAGAAAAAGGATACAGACAAGAGAGTGGAGAAGTGAAAGAGGCAGGCTTCCCATTTTCTTCAGTCATATTGAATGATGTAAATGTAATATAGTTATAATTTCAAGTGATCATAGAAGATTCAGGATTGGTATGTTTAAAAGAAGTCAAAACATAATCAAGCATAAAATTAATTTCACATTGAAAGTACAAAGGAATGTTATATTAAAATAACAAATGTCATGGTTTTGAGATAGCAAGAAGTTAAGAATATGAGAACAATAATGAAATAAATAAAAAATATAATAAGAATCATTTCAATGCAATATTTGCCACTACACAAAAATATTAAATGAAAACAATAGTCTCAAACCATTGTCATTCTCTCTTTTGCATCAATGAAGCTACAGCAAGAAGCAATTCTAACACAGCAAGAAGCAATTTAAGTGATTCTAAAGATTATTAGATAAGAAGAAACATTTTGAACATGCAAACACCACTCACGACACTCACAAGGGTACAGTTAGGCTGTTGAAAGAGAGAAGGAAAATAAAAAGCATGTCCGTAAGTACATGAAAAGACGAAAATGTAATGTGTTGCAAGTTTTTTTTTTTTTTGATTAAAGCAGCGCTAAGAAACTTGTCGGCTGCAACGCTGTGCCAAGTTGCAGTGTAGGAAGTGAAGAAGAGGGGGAAGAGAAGCACACACCTGATACCCCACCAGCTCAGGAGTGGCGTTCCCTGAACTAAGGCTGGCCGGCGATCTCGCCTGCGCCTGCGCCGCGAGGCCGCCCGGGGGGAGGAGGTCCAGCTCGTGGGGCGCCGCTCGCCCACTCACCCGCTTGGCGCCGCGCCGCTGGCCGCCACGTCCCCGCGCCGCTGCCGCCGCGCCGTCTCCGCCTCGGCGCCCTTCACTTGGATGACGATCCGGTTGCTGCTGCTGCTGTTGCTGGTCGCCGCGGTCGCGGCTGCCGCGGCGTTCGCCCGCGCCGCCCTTTGTGGTTGGCGGGACGGCGCGCTGGTGCGGTCGCTCACCAGCAGCGTCGAGTCGCTGTCGCTGGGTCGCTCCCTCCATGAGCGTCGCGGCGCAGCTCAGGATGGAGCGTCTCCTCCTCCTGGAAGTCGGGGCTGAGATGATTGGAGAGGCCTCGACTGCGACAGGTCCCCTTGGGCTGCTGCTGCTGTTGGGCGTAGGAAGCGCGCCCCAGCGCGGGCACTTTGCGCGAGCTCGAGTGCTCGACATACGGAAGAGAGACGGAAGGTGGCGCGCGGCGCGACAGCGAGCGCGCTGGCTCACGCCCTCCGACGACGTGCACGAGGCCGACCGCACGCGCGCCGACGACCCCGAGCGCGACGCGCCGCCCCCCACCCCCAGCGCCGGTGCCCGCCGCCGCGCCACGCCGCGCCGCAACACGAGTTTTCGGAGCCGATTTGAAGAGAACGCGTGACGGGCGCGTTTGTAGCGTCCACACTATACGTTCGGGCGGCGGGCCGGAGCTGGCGGCGCGGGGGGCCGGCCGGCGGACGACGGGGCGGGAGCGGGGTGGGCGAGCGCGGGGCGTGGGCGTGGTCGCGTCGTCGTAGGGCGACACCGCCCCCGCCACGTTGTGCTGCTTGCCGCCGCTGTTCGGGCGCGTGTCCAGGAGCGTGTGAGCGACGAGGTGACGTCCTCGTCAATGTCTATGTCCACTGCACTCATGGACGAGTCTTTCTGGAACTGCAGGTGGTCCTCGGAGCGCGAAGTGCGGACGAAGCCCCGCCGTGGTGGTAGGGGAAGGCAGAGGCGGCGACGGCGCCCATGGCCTTGGGATCGTGGGCGTGCGCGTGGGGCGGCGGGGCTGCGGCGCGGCGCAGGCGGGCTCGGGCACAGCCGTTGTCGCGCTTGCTCACCCACGGGCGACGTGCCGGCCGACCGCGGTCACGCCCGGTGGCGCCGACGCCGACTTGAAGTGGTGGTTGCGGTGCCCATGTCCATCTCGTTGGGGCTGGTAGGACGGAGTTTGGTGGTGGTGGTGATGGTGGTTGTGATGGTGATGGTGGTGATGGTGGTGGTGGTACCTCAGACTATCTACTTTCTTCTGGTGCTTGGGCAGCAGGCCCGAGCTCTGCTGTGTTCGCGAGAGTTGAGGATGAGGTCTCGGTCATCATGAAGGCCTCGAAGCGGGCGGGCGCGGGCGCGCGGCTGCGCTGGCGGGGGCAGCCCGTGGCCGAGGCGCGGGCCGGGGTGGAGGGCGGGCGCGGCGGTGCTACTGCTGCTGGGCTCGTCGCTGTCCGAGGCCTCCAGCGCGCGGCGGGGCGTGGCGCGGCGCGCGCGGACGCCGCCACCGGGAGCAGCGCCTCCTGGTCCGAGGAGCTCGTGCGTTGCTGCGAGCTGCGCCCAGGGGCGCGGCGTCGCTCGCGTCCGACGGCGGCGACGACTGGGAAGACGACGACGACGAGGGACGACGAAGCGGGGCGACGAGGACAGCGAGGGAGGGCCGCCGCCCCCAGTCACCGGCGCGGGGCCCGCACGCCACCCGCGCCCCGCCCTCCGCCGCGCCGCCAACTAAGCCGCCGCCTCCCTCGTCGACGGCCCCAGAGCCCCCGCCGCTAACACTGTTATACTTATCGTGCGACGACGCAAAGTCGCAGTTTTCGTGCGCGTTCTGCGTTGACAGGTAATGTTTTACCCGAGCTTTGATCAGCGGATCTGCAACAGTGGGGCAAATGCGTAAGCGGAAGAGAGGTGGCGTGAAGGCAGGAGAGCGTGCGGGCGAGGGCAAGCCAAGTGGCAACACAAATACACAAGCAATTAGAACGTAATCAAGATGCAGTGCAAAAGAAATTTTTTCACATATACACACTGCCTAGTAAAATGTGTCGTTTGGAGCTTTTTTTTACTACAAAATTTGATGTTTCAAAATAGATCAGCTACCTTTCACCATTTCCCTTGGCGATTCGCCTTGTTACATTTTCAATTCAGTGTTTCTCCCTTGCCTCCTCCTCCTACTACTTCCAAGTAATCATAAAGCAATATAAACTTGTTGAACGCAGTGGCGTAGCGGGGCACAATCCAAAGGTAGGGACCAACATCAAGGTACAAGTTTTTTGACGAGGTGACATCTCCCTCCCCAATATCTCGCAGTTAACACCACGAAAATGTACGGCTCAAATAACTGAAAACATGCATTATGTACGTAAAAGAAACTAAATAATAAAATCCAGTCTTACTTTAACACTAAAGCAAAATGATAAATCCCAAGCGCATTGAAATGTATCCGTACGAGAAAGACCTAATGCTATACTCTCGGATTTCTTTGTACTTTCTCTTCCTTATTTCGTAAAGAGATAAAATATTATTCTCATGCGTCGGAAAACGGCGAATTTTCGTCAGAAAAACGTTCATTGCCGGGCCCTGGTTTCGAATAAGTGGATAAATCATCATATGTAGTAAATCACATCCTCTAACATTCCGATGAGTTGCCAGAATCCACGCTTTGTGTGATCGTGATTTCGAAAAATTGATTGACTGCAAAACGTCTGTCTGGTCAACGCTACTTAAATCGTTCAAACGATAATCCCCAAAACTGATATTTCTCGATCTATTTAAAGGAACTAGACTTTGAAACGGATATAATGATTTTAAGGGTACTTGAAAAAATGACTTTAGGAGCCAATAGATGGCAGCTGAGAAGAGGGTGAGGCAATACCGAAAAGAGAGACCAGACTGAAGTGAAAGTGAAGTCCTAAAACATGAAACGTAGTGTACTCATTTTGCTACCATATATTTATTATTACTTAATTGACTTCCTACAAAATAAGGAAAATTATCGCTTGAGTAATTTGAGAGATAATGGGGCAAATGTGTTCAAAAATGTCACTTTTCAGAAATCGAAGTTAATTCTTCTATGAAACCGTTCAGCTCGTTGTAATAACAAATACACAAAACAGATTTGCCACGTAGACAGTCTTAGAAGATAAAGTTGTGCAATGTGCTTTGTGCAGCATTTAGTGAAAAGCAGAACCTTCTACATGGATTCCTTCAAAAGATATAAAGCGAATGAGACTCGCAATCAAAATGACTGCCATTTTTGACATATACAGATGAAGGAAGAAATAAATGATTGTAATTCACAATGATGAGCGTATCTTCTTTAGAAGAGTCTAAATATTTGCAAAATGTTACAATCCCACAAGTATCAAAATGTTTACTTTGCCTCCCTTTAATATAAAACCTACGATACCGTTTACCTATGATGTCAGGTCTTCACTCAACTCATGTTAATTATTTTCGTGTTCGATATAAGGAAATCATCGAAAGAGAGAAAAAGTCCTTCCAAATGCACACAGCAACAATCTGATCCTGAAGTGCTTGATGCGCGAAGGAGAGGGAGTTGGAGAAACAGGCGCTTCCCCCGACACAGCGCTCAGCTCCCATTCCCATACCCTGCCTCTTCGGCAACCACTATCGCTACTCTAAAGAAAAAGGTCTTTTACACAAATAAATGTTCCATTAACGCAATAGTTTATTACTGCAGCCCCGAGCCTTCGACAAACAGTATCCACGTTGCTTTGCCAGTAGAAGGGATGAGACGTTGTCGCAAGTGGACTTTCAGATTATGCAAACGTGTAATTCAAGTTTCGGGAGATATAATAAGAAACGATGTCTGTTGGAAAGGATACATCAGCAACATCTAACACAGCGAAAGTACAAGATAATAGTTTCTTCCACTATAATACACACTTTCTCGTTAATGTTTACTACTGCATCCTAATATCTGAAGCCTTGTAAACAGAAAAGGCGACCCAAAATGCCCAAGCACCAACGGCCGATGTAGAGTTGACATTCTCGTATAAGGTTTTCTCGACTTCTCTTCCCCTTGATCACGATTGCATTCAATACCGTGCAGGTTTTTTTAACCACCCAGTTTGCTAGATGCGAGTGGAGTGGGTCGCGTGGATTTATTGTCGGCAGCTCTATGAAGTGAAAACTGCGGCCCCATCGCCGATACTAAATAGTTTCTAGTCCTGCAGCAGCAAAAATGCTGTTTAACATTGTCAGATAAAGTGGTTTTCCAAAAAGGTTGTATGTGCACTAAAGAACAACAGAAAATACTTTCGTATAATACTGTACTGAATTAAATAACAAACACAATACAACCGTTTATTTCATACAAAGAATAACAAAAACAAAAAACTTGTTCCATATAGCAAAATTTGTATAGCAAATGTTTAAGAGCTGAGGCTTCTTCCTTGGAGCCTTGCTGTCGTAAGCAGTGATACCGTGAGTATGAGACTTTAGTCGGTACGAGTGGTATGAGAATAGGCTGAATAACACAATCAAATATTTGCATTTTTCAGTCAAAATCGAATTTGGTTCATTGTTTGGGCATTTTCTCCGAGTTCCAAGGTATCTAACGAAACTATACAGGAATATGTTTGTAGGTGATATGTTGTTGGCGGTGTTCCAAATTCAAGAATCCGAGACGTTGACTTGGCCAACGCAAGAGCAGCTTTCGAGCCGCATCGTGAGTAACCTTGATACAAAATATGAAGTATTTTTTTAAAACATTCAGTTATGAACTAATAGATAATTGAAAGTTTAGTAAGTACATAATTTTGATAATTGAAAGAAAAAGGGGCGGAGCGTTCAATTATTTTAAAACTACAGTAATTTTGTGAATATCTACAATAATTGTATGAAAAAGGGGAAGAAAAGTTAAATTTAGTGTGAAATACATTTACTTCAAACAGAACTCACATCCTGACATTAACATATCCGAAAAAGAAGACCAGTATTAAACCAGAATAACTTTGGAAAATATTCACTGTCATTTACATGATATTCTCAATAAAAAAACATAAACCAGCCCCCTTCAGAGTAGCCTATCATTTCCTGGAACAAATTCAAGTTCTCTTGGTTTTCCAGTGCACGTTTTTTTCACTATATATACATACACACGCACACACACATTGAACTAATTTTTTTAAGGAAATATATACAATACGCTCTCAAAATTTTCCATGATTTCCATGATTCGTCCACAAATTTCCTGAATTTTACCTCGACTTTTCCAGGGCAATGAAATTCTCCGATTTCCCCCGGTTTTCCAGGAAGTCGCCTTCCTGCCCTTTCTTTTCTTTTTTTCATTTCTCTTATTCTCTTACTTAATGAACCTTATTTTAAAATTATATGTTTACTTAACTTCCAATTACCTATCTTTGAACAAAACAATGTTTTTTTTTATATTTTATGTTTTGCATCAGGTAACTGACGATGCTCGCTACGTCATCGAATGCTGTGCTTACATTAAATGTTGGCCGAGAGTATGTCTAGTTATTTTATTTAAAACCATACACGCCTATCAAAAGGCCGGAAGCTGCAGACTTTTCTTTGAAATTCTACGCACGTTGGAAATTAATAATATATATTACACTTGAGAGAATATTTCTTGATATCAAATATTGCCAATCACGGTCGTCCATACCTAGTTCATAATTTAACAATGCACGGGAATATAGCGTTGGAAGAGATTCCGAAGGTCAAGGAAACGCGGGGAGAATAGGTAAAACTAACATGTCTCCATTCCCCCGCCTCTTGCCATGCCTTGCACTGTCTCGCCTTGCCTTGCACTGCCTTGCCTTGCCTTGCCCTGCCCTGCCCTGCCCTGCCTTGCCTTGCCCTGCCCTGCCTTGCCCAGCTCCGCCCAGCTCCGCCCAGCCCCGTCCGATGCAAGTCTCGACGTTACGGTGCCTAAGGAATTTACGTCCTAATGAAAAATGCAAGAAATTCAACCTGCATGCCACCAGTTCTGTGGGGTGAACTAGAAGACTCGCGAACACTGTAACGATGTTCTAGTCAGGGCCCAATTTTTCTAGCATTTAGCTGCATTGCGGTTTTAAGACGTGATCAGTAAACGCATTTGTCCTGTCTTTAATGAACAATCTTAAAAAAAAAAACAACTAATTTTTCAAATTGGTTTTCATACTTCCGGGAAGAATTTGCATAATATGGACTTTTAGCGCGATGACAACATGCTCCCTGAATCCAACGCAGTTTCAACTGCCTGAATAGGATGAATAGGAGCGTCTTAAAGAGAAATTTGGCAAAATATACGACTCCCTCCTCCTCCTCCTCCACGGCGCACCGATGCGTCATCGCTTGGCGCGGACAGCAGGCCCCACTTGAGAGACGGCAGGCATTCATCGTTAATGCTTCCGATACTACCAGAATCTTTATTATTTTTCCCTACAAACTAGTAATGTTATAACAGAGGCAAACGTTCTCGTATCCTCTGAATTAGCAATATAAAAACTGTATTTATCGTGTACAAATATTTCGATATTCCATCGAATACCTACATAAAATAGTTTGGGCTATTACCCAAAATATCGACTCCTACTAGGAACTGATTTCACAAATAAAAATTTATCAGTTTGTGCAAATATAAGCCATATTTAATTTCATCTCATAACATTTTAGATACGAATCCTTTCTAAGAACTTCCGTTTCCATGCCACTACCAGAAATAATTAACAGAGATTAGCGAGCTCTTCTATCACGTGGATCGATTTTTACTTCGAAAACAGTGTTTGCCTACTTTATAGAATTCAGCTTGTGAAGCTATTTTCCCAAGTAAAATAGCTGGAGCTAACTTTAAAAAAATTGTTTCGTAAACAGATTTGAAAATGTGGTCATAAAGCGCGATG